GAAACACACTGGGCCTTGGGCTCCGTAAGCCCGCCGGGGTGCGGAATCGGGCCTCAAGCCTCGGTGCTAGTCGGGACTCCTAGTTAGACGCTAGATGGCCCACGTGGATTATCAAAAAAAAATAAAAAAAAGCTTAAAGTTAACCCCTTGCATTACCCAATGCAGAACATAAAATTATAATTGAGTCTCTTTGTCATAAAAATCAACAACAATTAAACAGACCAATCATATCAAAACTATCTCAATTTCGAACAAACCCACCAAATTAAGGAATAATTTTTCAATGATGGAATAAGGTTTTTGAACAAATCTGAGAGATGATGTGACAGTGAACAACGATCTAACGAGTGGAGATGAAGAAAGGATTACTGTGGGAATCGCACTGGCGACGGCGGCTGCTTTAGCTCCGGCAATAGCTCCGGCTACGCAATCATTAAAAAAAAATACACAATCACTTAAACCTAAAAAAATAAATGCAAGGAAACGAAATTATTAATCAATTAATCAAGAAAAAAATCGAGATTATGGTTCCTATAACTGATTCAGTTCAAAAAAAAAAAAAAGAGAGAATAATATGAAGAATGTCATTGTTATCAAGTTGTTATAAAATTTGCCAAAAATATTAATCTGTAAATTCTCACTCAATTTTCATTCCTCTAAATTAATAAGAATGTGAAGTGAAATAGCCAAGAACCAATTAATTATTCATAATAATATTAAATAACCGGTACAAGCAAATCACAAATCAAGGAAAAAAACTTCTTCTTGGGTGCGAAATTGTTTTTTATAATGTTTCTGGGTTTTAATTGAATTCATCTTCACCTTCAAGCAAAGGTCGATTTGCCGGTCACTGGGTTTCACTTTCTAATCAAGAAATCTAGTCGATTAAATTTTAACAAATCTGACAACAAATTTTTCTAACCCAAACACGAATCTAACAGAAATGGATCCAAAATCATTGAAAACTCTCAACAGGAATCAAGTAGGAGAATAATCGTCTGAATGTTTTCTAACCTAAACACGATTTGACAAAATTGTATCCAAAATTGTGGATCGGGGTAAAGACTAACCTGTGGAACGGGGAAAGAGATTCAACTTTACGGCGAAGCAAATATAACCGATGAGAGTTTATGCGAATTATGAATCTCGCTATCAACCCAAATATAACCGATGAGAGTTTTCCAGATTGTAAATCTTCTTTGTGCTAGTTTGTTTCTCCTTTGGATGAATTAGCCATTGTAAGTGTCAATTCTTTGTTCTAATAAACATTGAGTTGATTTGGTTTGTTTTGGTGATAAATTCTTCTACAAATTCCGTTATTAACAAGTAACAATGAAGAAAACAGATGATATGTGCTCCTTCTCTTTTGTAATTTCAAACTTTTTTATTGAAGATGATACAAA